ACCCAGTTAGGAAAGTTTTCTGCCATTATTGTTTCAAACAGGTTTTCGATTTCTTGTTCTCGCTCTTCTCCTTCTGGCACCCCCAAGATGCGAATGTTGGCACACTTGAAGTTGTCCCAGAGGCTCCTTACACTATCCTCATTTTTTTGGATTCTTTTTTCTTTTTGCTGTTCTGATTGGGCATTTTTTGCTTCCTTATATTCCAAATCGATGGTTTGCTTCTTGGATTTACGTACTCTACTATTGAAGCTGTGTAAATTATTCTTTATTTCAGTTAATGCCTCCTTCAATTCTGACTGTGCATCCATAATTTCTGACTGGTCCTTTTTTATGCTCTTGAGGCCCTCACTAAGTTCATTGAGCATCCTTATAAGCAGTATTTTGAACTCAGCATCTGTTAGGTTGCTTATCTCCATTTTGCTTAGTTCTTTTATTGAGGTTTTGTTCTGTTCTTTCATTTGGGACCTGTTTCTGTGTCTCCTCATTTTGGCTGCCTCCCTGTGTTTGTTTCTGTGTATTACTTAACAAGTGGTATGGGGCTAGCTGAGACCAGATGCTGCTCGTTTGAAAGAATTTAGGAAAACCTGAAGCAGGATCCAAGACAGGCCAATCCTATGGTTAAGCAAGTGGCAACAGCTTGGGTGGGCCTGAAAGTGGGGCGGGGCCTCAGGGAGTCACCAGGGCGGGGCTACCAGTGTGAGCCAGGTTACTGGAGTCCCAGATATGGCTTCTGTCTTCCGCCCCAGGGAAGGACTCAGCAAAGGAACAAAGACCTCTGACAGCACGTTTGTCCCAGAGAAAGCCCCCTCTCCAGCCCTCGCTCCAGTGCCAAACAGCTCAGTTCTTCCCTGTATGTCTCTGGTGCCCCTTGAGCTGCCTCCCCTCCAAGCTTAGAGGGAGAGAGTCCGATAAGTTCGGGCGCGGGCCCTTTAAGGAGCTGCCTGGGGCTCCAGCCGCTTCAGTTTCCCTGAGCCTCAGTTCCTGCTGGTTTTTCCAGCCAGAAGTTATGGGGACTTCTCTTCCTGGCACTGGAACCCTGAGTGGGGCACCTGGTGTGGGACAGGGACCCCTCAGTCCTCAGGAAGGACCTTCCCAGCCGAGGTATGCTCCTGATTTTTATCCGCCACACCTGGGTGTGGGACCAGCCCGTCTTGCCACCGGCCCTCGTGCCTCCGCCTCTCCGCCCCTCCACCCCTCCGCCCCTCCTACCAGTCTGGAAGTGGCTGCTGCTTTAATTCCGTAGTTGTAGGACTTCCATTCAGCTTGATTTCAGGCGGTTTTGAATGATGGTAGTTCTGTAGTTTAGCTGTAACTTTGACGTGGTTGTGGGAGGATGCGATACCGCATTTACCTACCTGCCATCTTGACCGGAAGTCCCCTTCCTTCCTTCCTTCCTGAGGGAGAGAGAGAGAGAAAAAAAACATCGACATGAAAGGGACACATCGAGTGGCTGCCACCTGCATGACCAACCAGGGCCGGGGACAAACTGCAACTGAGGTACACATCCTTAGTGGGAATCAAGCCCAGGTATCTCTGGACCGCAGGCCGACGCTCTAACCGCTGAGCCAATCCGGCCAGGGCTGTTTTTACTTTTTTATTCTCACCTGAGGATATTTTTACATTTTTCTTTGGATAGAGTGAGAGGGAGAGAGGGAGGAGAAGAAGAGAGGGAGAGAAACATTGATGTGAGAGAGACATATCGATTGGTTGCCACCTGCACGACCCCAACCGGGGCCAGGGATGAACCACAACTGAGGTATGTGCCCTTGACCAAAATCGAACCTGTGACTCTGGTCCCCGGGCTGACACTTGAACCGCTGAGCCAAACTAGCCAGGGTTCATGGCAGTTTTATTCCTAACAACCAAAAACTGGAAACAGTTGAAATGTCCAGACATGGAAAAGGACAGAGTACTGATGCACACAAACTACTGGATGAATCTCTAAAACCTGGCTGTTTTTAACAGGTCAGGCTTTTTCTTCCTGATAAATGATAGATAAATCAATTGAGTGTTTACAATAAAGATATCTTGCCCTGGCCGGTTTGGCTCAGTGGTTAGAGCGTCGGCCCGCAGACCAGAGAGTCCCAAGTTCGGTTCCCGCTAAGGGCACGTACCTCAGTTGCAGTTTGTCTTCAGCCCGGTTGGGGTCGTGTGGGTGGCAGCTACTCGATGTGTCTCTCACGTCAGTGTTTCTCTCTTTCTCTTCCCCCGCTCTCCCTCCTGCTCTATCTGGAGATAAATGCAAAATGTCCTCGGGTGAGGATAAAAAAAATAATAAAATAAAATAAAGATCATAGAACAGAAATATGTAAAAATATGTTGACTGCTAACAAGTATTTTCAGTTTTGACTTGTTTCTTGATAAAGCTGTTAAGACATTAGAAAAAGGTACACTTCTTGGTTGCAGTTTGTCCCCAGCCCTGGTTGGGTCGTGTGGGTGGCAACCACTCGATGTGTCGCCTTCACGTCGATGTTTCTCTCTCTCTCTCTCCCACTCACTCTATCTGAACAAAATATCGAAAAATGTCCTCGGGTGAGGATAAAAAAAAAAAAAAAAGAAAAAGAAAAAGGTACACTTAATACAGATGAATGGAATAAACTAAATGAGACCTAAGAATTGGCCTTTGATTTTCAAAATTTAATTTTTTTCAAATTATAAGAGAAAATTTACTTACAATGTTTTAGGTAGTAGAAGGGCCATTGGAATTTAGGATAGGGAGGGAGAGAGATGCTCACCTTGAGGGATGAAAGAGGAAGGAGAGGCTTCTGGAAAGAGAAAGAGCACGCCCTGGGGGGAAAGGAGGTGGGGAAGGCATGGGCGTGCTCCAGAGAGACTGCTGCTGAAATATTTAATTTGTTTCTGTAAACTTTGTCAATAAAAATAATAAACAAGGATAAAAAAAACCCGAAAGCGCCATGAAGAGAGAATAGGTGTGTCCTATCTCACACCATCCCACTGGCCCCTCATTTATGGAATGAATAAACAAGCCTCACCAGTCAGGTGCCCCCAGAAGGCTAGCCTGCTCCCCTTTTTGGGCAACAGAGGTGGGGACTGATGCACCTCCCCCACTGACTTTTTTATATTGGGGTACATGAATGGGTTTAATATGAATGGTCAGACCAGCGGTGAAGGGGAGCAAACAGAATTAGGCAATGGGCACTTGGCGGGATGGGGAGTTCCCAGGAGAAAATAAGACCTGTGAAAGCACTTAGTAAGGGTCAGGAGTGGATGACTTCTGGGGTTTTTCATGCATGTCTAGGGACTTCTGATCTGTTTTAGCAATAACCTGTGCCTCCATTTGCACTCGATGAAAGTTGAGCAGCTCAAGCTCCCAGGAACAGCCTGCCCATGGGGTTCCCAAAGCTAGGGCTTTTTCCAGCTGCTCTACTTCTTTGCTCTTTCCAAATATGTTGTGGAAACTAGGGCTTTTCCTCACCTCACCAAGGCAGTCAATTACCTCAGGTGCCTCTTCTTTGAATTAGGATGCCAAGGAGTTCTGATGGGGGCTGTTTCCTTTGGAGCCTCCTGCCCAGCCCCTGCCTTCAGTGGCCATAGTGGGCTGCCCACCAGAAACCAGGTCTCCCTTGCGCAGCCTGGAAAGTCACCTCTTCCCAGGGCCACTCACGGCTGACCTCCTCAGGTCACGGGACGTAGGGAGCGGCACTCTGTAAAACCAAGTTCTTTTCCTTAAATGTTGGGAGTAGAAGTGGGCAAAAGGGGAACTGGAAGACACAATGACCTGGCTTCCTGTCTACAGACCATTCAGCCGAACATCATGCCTAGAGTCAGGCCTGCCAAATAGCAGTAGAGTGTTGGGGGGGGGGGCACACCGGAGCCTGTGTTGCTGGGGCCCCTGGGGATGAGAGCCAGGAGCCCTGGGTGAGGCATGTGGGGAAGCCAGCTTCTGTGTCTCCTTATCTCTCACCCCTAAGCCCCTGTGTAGTTCAGAGAGTTCACAGGCCCCTTTCTGTGCCCTGGCCAGTCACAGGCTTTGGACCAGGTAGACCTGGACTCAAATATCACCTCCATTTTTTAGGTCATGACCTTATGCAAGTTCCTTCACTTCTATGAACATTGTCTGCCCCCTCTGAATAATGCCATCCTTATTGACATGTGTTGGTTCCATTCCCTGATGGCTTTCTGGTCTGATTTGACCCCAGAAATTCGAACTGCCACGAAGGGGCAGCTGAGGTTCTTGAACACAGAGCTGGAGAGGCCTTCTCTGCAACTGCGGGCAATAGCCAGAGGACCCTCGAAGGGCTGGCTGGAGCTGGAGCTTTCAGGGAGGGGTGCGAGGTCTAGGGGTCAGGTCAGAACTGGGCTAGCCAGATGTAGACAGGAGCTGGTGGGGAGAGACAGGTAGCCAGGATTGAACAATCCTCATGCTGCTGGGGCCGGGGCCTGGAGGCTCCACTCTCAGAGTTGTTCTTGCCCCTTGCCCCAGCTCCTTTGCACGTGGCATGGATACAGTCTCCTTAGGGCTGAGCCCCAAACCTCTGGCAAGTGGCCTCTTCTCCCTGCTCTTGCCAGCCAGGGCAGCACAGGGCCTCAGATAGTCAGTGTCCCCAGGGACTATGGCATTCATTTTATCCATAACATACAGATGAAGACAAAGCCCAGAGGGCTGGGTTGTGGTGGTGGTGCTGAGCCTGGCACCGCCGTGTTCAGACACAGTCACGTTCTCTCCCTACACCAGAGCTGGGAGGATTGTTAATGGTTCACTGAGCTTAACCCAGGAATACCTCATCTATAATCCACTTTTGAGAGAGAAGAGGGCAAATTTCAGCACCCAGGCCCAGCCCCCTGTTTTACTTGGAGGGGCTTCTCACAGGCATCAGAGGGTATGGGAGAACCAAGGTGGGGAGTCATATTCTCAGTCCCCTGAGATCTTCTCTGGGATATTTTTCAATTACGTTTCACCTCAAATTAACCTTACATACCTGAACTAGGAACTTTAAAAAAATATATTATTAAGAGTTTATTATAAATTTGTTCCACAGGCCACAAGGAAATAAAAGGACTATGTACCGCCTTATAGGAACAGGCAGGGAGCTGAGGGGAGCCAAGGTGAATTTTGAGCCTTGGTGAGTGCATTTTTGGGGGTAGGTTTCCTGTAAGGGAAACTGGACTAGAAACTTTCTAAACCTGATTCTTGCAGGGACTTGCCATGTGACTCCAGGGAAATCGCTTTCTGTCCTAGTTTAAGTGAGTATGGTGGGCTAATCTTATCCTCTGAGCCCCAAGTTAGGAGAGCATGCTACCTGTAAGTAGTTAGAGGCAAGAGCCCTTTCTTTTGTTTACCCTTTGGTTAAATGGGCATCACCTCTACTGCCCTCTGGGACTTGGGGGCAGAGCTGTGGGAGAACATATGTGCGCATATGCAATTTTATCTGCACGTTATTTTTCCTCTCTGCAATTTCAGGGCCATGCTGAGGCAGCCTGGTGCCTGACCAGTGAGGGGAGCCTGCCAAGGGATTACTGCTAGCAGGAGCTATCAGCAAGACGGCAGGACAGCTGGCTTCCAGGGAGCAGGGATGGGCAGAGCGGCCTCTGCGTTTGGGCCAGCAGCACCAGGAAGGATGCCCAGGCCCTGGCTGGGAGCTTGGCACATGCTCTGCTGATCCAGGCTGCATTCAGAGCAGCACCCCGCTGAGCAGCAGCTGTGCCCAGGCCCCAGAGGACTCCATTGCAACAGGAGCTCTGCAACCCCTTAGGAAACTGCACTTGGGGCTGTGACCATCTGGAGAAGGGACCTGTACCTTGATGGGAAGCGGAAGAGCAGAACCTAATGCAGGGAGGATCTTGGCCTCTACGGCAGAGTTTTGCGACACCCACAGAGTGTCCTGGTTTCTTCTCTCAGGGTTGGGGACTGGTTTCCCTCCCCTGGCAGAGGGGTTGGACCGGGAGGACATCTGAGGGGTGGACACCTCTTGCATGAAATCAAAGCTGCTTGAAGCCCACGTGTTCTCTGTTGTGATTGGGGTTCAAGGGCTTCCCTGCTTCAGGGGACGAGGGGCTGCCTCGTTGTCTGCTCATGAACCACAAGGACCCCGACTACTCCAGACTGGATCATTTCAAGCCGCCAAAGAGGGGGGCCCCCAGAGCTGGCAGCCAGCAACCCCAATGGACTAGAAGGCTGGGATGGACTGACCTCCCCCTTGCCAGGGCAGCAGGAGAGGCAGAGCATCTGTGGCCCAGCTAGTGAGAGAGAGACCCAATGAAGCCATAAGCAGGGGCCCAAGTGGCTCAGGGACAGGGGAGCCAATCCTGCCCACGTGCTTGCTCTTAATCCTGAGAGAGGGCGTGGTCTGGCACTCCTGCTGCTGTTGCCTCTGCAGCACATGCCCTTATGCCCTAGTACAGGCAGGCTACATTTTGGCTGGTCTGCCAGTGGGCAGGGAAAGGAGTGGCCACAGTGACTCCCGGCTGCCCGCCGGGCTGGTGGTCCAGCCTCCCGGGGCTTCGCAACATGAAGTGCTCCCTGCGGGTATGGTTCTTCTCCGTGGTCTTCCTGCTGGTGTTCATCATGTCACTGCTCTTCACCTACTCCCACCACAGCATGGCCACCCTGCCCTACCTGGACTCAGGAGCTCTGGGGGGCACCCACCGGGTGAAGCTGGTACCCGGCTATGCTGGCCTGCAGCGCCTCAGCAAGGAGGGGCTCTCTGGCAAGAGCTGTGCCTGCCGCCGCTGCATGGGTGACACTGGCGCCTCTGACTGGTTTGACAGCCACTTTGACAGCAACATTTCTCCTGTCTGGACCCGAGAGAATATGGATCTGCCCCCTGATGTCCAGAAGTGGTGGATGGTGAGATAACCATGGCCTCCTGCCCTTGCTGCTCCTCTCCAGGGATCTGTCCCGCCTCATTTGGGAGTCACTCTTAGGGCCCCCTCTTGAGTTTGGGCTGTCAGAGGACCATTTAACCAGAGCCCATGTACTAGGATCACAGAATCTGAAGAGCAGAGGGAGCTTTGGCCTGGAAGGAGAGAGAACTAAAAATCTCTAGTGCCTGTAGGGACCGAGCATAGACCAGAAATGCCTCCTGGGCCAGGCAGGGGACACAGATGAGAGGAGTGGTCCCAGTGAGAGGAGGGTGAGCAGTGAGGACCATGACAACAGGGAGAAGGCCTGCCCTTTACAAGAAGGCGGCCAGTCTCAGCTGCAGAAATTTTGCTGTGGGATACAATTCATCACTGCTGGATCTTCTGACCCTTTGAGAAAACCTGGAAGTCCAGCCACCCCCCCCCCCCCAAAGTCCAGATCTTTTTTTTCTTTCATTCAGGGATGCTGTGAGGATGAGCTCAAGTGAGCAGGCTTATCAGAACAACTGACAGATCCTGCTTCCTGGCCCAGACCATCAGAATTCCTAAGAACAGGGAGGTCTACAGTGGAAGGGTCACCAGGAGCCCCACAGGCCCTTCCTGTGACAGCTTGGAGGCCTTGAAGGGTCCTTCCTGCAGCTTATAGTCACAGCCTTTATTTTGGTGGGAAAATCAAAGTTCAGAGAGTCCACAGGGCTTGCCCAACGTTCCAGGTCCCAGTGGTGGCTACCTAGGGCCAGAACAGGGCTCTGAAGAGAGGTAGACCGATGGGCAGGACAGGCCTCCTGCCCACAGTGATGGAGCTCGTGGCTCATTAAGCACCAAACATGTTCCTCAGCTGTGATACAGCGGAAGCCTCTTCTCCCCTGGCCCCCACACTCACCCTCTTTAACCATGAACTTGGGGATTCTCATCTCAGCTAAGCTCCCTCACCACACTGAGTTCACGTTCTTGTTTCCAGGGGTCCTTCCTGTGCTCAGAAGAGGCAGAGAAGCAGCCCCACTCCATCCCCTCCATGTATTCTGTCCCCTGAGCAACAGCTGCTCGGCAACAATACCGAGATATATGGCTCAGGCTGCAGGGCATTTTAAAGCCCTAGTTTGACCTTACCAATCGGTGGCCCATGGACCAAGGCCAGCCTACTCAATGTTTTTAAAATATTTGCATTAGTTATCAGCATTTGTGAATCAGGATATTTCACATGAAATCCATATTTTCAGCTTCTCTTGAAAAATTAGAAAAATTGCTCCTTCTTGGCTCACAATCTCACATGGCAACAATGGACTGTTGCTCCTTATTAATGGATAACCTGCCACCTCATTACTGTGTGTCACCTGCCTGGCACCATAGGTATTTGCTCTCTGGACCTCATTTTGTGGTGGTTTTTAAAAAAAATTTTTTTTTACTTTATTGATTTTTAGAGTAAGAGGAAGGGAGCGGGAGAGAAAGATAAAAACATTGATGAGAGAGAAAGAACATTGATTGGCCGCCTCCTGCTTGCCCCGTACTGGGGATTTGGCCCACAAACTGGGCATATGACCTGACCAGGTATCAAACCGGCAACCTCTTGGTGCATGGGTGGACACTCAACCACTGAACCACACCAGCTGGGCTCATTTTGGTTGTTTTTGGTATGTGCCCCTAGTGGGAACCGAGCCCGGGACTCTCTGGTCCGCAGGCTGACGCTCCAACCACTGAGCAAAACTGGCCAGGGCTCATTTTGTATTTTTTTCACCATAATTGGTGGTGGGACATGCAGGGGACCAGTTTTATTCTGTCATTGAAATAATTTCTGTGGCCCTGGCCGGTTTTGCTCCGTGGTTAGAGCGTTGGCCTGGAGAGACCCAGGTTCGCTTCCCGCTAAGGGCATGTACCTTGGTTGCGGTTTGTCCCCGGCCCTGGTTGGGTCATGTGGGTAGCAGCCACTCGATGTGTCCCTTTCACATCGATGTTTCTCTCTCTCTCTTCCTCTTCCCTCTGCTCTATCTGAATAAAAAATGGAAAAATGTCCTTGGGTGAGGATAAAAAAAAAAAAAGAAATAATTTCTATGCCTCTCTGCTTTTCCCGAGGGCTCAGGGAGTAGCTCCATGTGTCCCATGAATTTTGCCCCACGCATCTTCTGTCACCAAGTTCTGCAGGCCATGTTCCTGGGGCACCCCCTATAGACTGATTGGGAACAGCCCCTGCAGCTCATCTAGACTTTCCACATTACCTCCAACTGAAAATGACCTCTTTGTGTGACTCCTAGCTGCCCTGAGGGGACAGCTGAGCAGAGGCCTCTTTATGTATGAGGAGCCCACCCAAAAAGTTTCTCTGCTGCTGACACAGGCCTACAGGTCCCTGAATGTGCCTTGACCCCTGAGCCCCTCCAGTGCATCAGAGCAACTCGAAGGGACACTTTACTGTTGTTGAGAGGAGGGTTCTCACTGCTCAGAGAATTCCTGCTCCCTGACAGAGCCTGGTTAGGAGTCCTGTGTGGCTTGGAAAGTGGAGGGTGAGGACAGGGGAGAGGGGGCAGGCAGGAGTCCCTTCCTGTTCACACCCGCTCCCTTCCCCTCCCCTCTGCAGATGCTGCAGCCCCAGTTCAAGTCACAGAACACCAATGAGGTGCTGGAGAAGCTGTTCCAGATAGTACCAGGGGAGAACCCCTACCGTTTCCGGGACCCCCAGCAGTGCCGGCGCTGTGCTGTGGTGGGGAACTCGGGCAACCTGCGGGGCTCTGGCTATGGGCCAGATGTGGATGGGCACAACTTCATCATGAGGTGAGCTACAGGGAGCCCAAGGGTAGGCCCAGAACAAGTCTCCTGGAGGGAGGACTGGACTTCATGGCCTTGTCTGGCAGTGTAGGAGTTGCCAGTTGCTGGGGTTGTTATAGGTCTCTAATACCCAGAACCTTCTGTGATAGAGTCTCGCCTTTGTTGGGGTGGATGGGGAAGCAGAATTCCCATTCAAGAGTTTGCTTGAGGCTTGTACTCCATTTCCAACTCTGAATTACTCTGAAAAGAGCTGAAAATAGACTCCTGGCTGGCTGCTAGTGAAAACTCCCACCAGGGGTCCTTCTATCTGCCTGGTTTCCTCAGTGGTTGTGCCAGGAGTAAGGGCTCCAAACCAAACCAGCATCTTGCTTAATAGTCACAGGTGATTCCTCCTAAAAGACTCATCGAAGATGTATATCCTGGGCAGAAGAAGAAGCTGTCTGGTGCTTGCTCTGGGCTGCTGTCCTTTATGTCACAAGGTTTAGATTATGTGGGGGCTCAGTCATTCAACAAGACATCGGTGCCCAGCCTTGAGGACAGAAGGGCTGGGTGGGCATTCATTCCAGACAGATACACAGAGCAAGAAGTCTGGGGGTGGACAATGACTGAGAATGGACTTGTGAGCTGAGCATGGGCTGCTCTTTCTGCTCTGAACCCGTTTTTTGACTTCTTCACCAAACTTGGGGACAGGAAATGCTATCCCACTTCTTGGAGGAAGAGCCTTAAGAATAAGATACTGAAAATGCCCAGTTTTCACAAAGTATCTCTGAGGATGAGCACTGCAGAAAGACAGGTTTCCCAGGAGGAGGAAAGAAGGGCTTTGTCTTAGAAACTATTGCTGTCTCCATAGCAACACCAAGGCAGCAATATGTCCCTGAGGCTTTCCACATTCCTTGCAAACCCTTCTTATGTTGAGAATGGTGGGGTATGGGGGATGGAGAGGGATGTTAGGCCCTATCCAGGAACCCAGAGCCCCTGAGATTCTCCCCATTGTCCAATTGCTGGCACCCAGAATGCAAGGGAGGCAAGCTGGGAACTGAAGAGGGGCCTCTCTTTACCCAGAGACAGTGGCTGAGATAGGGGAATGAAGTGGCCATCACTCCGGTGCAGCCCTGGAACACGGGAAGTCCAGGGAAATGTTCTAGACTGCCTGAAGCCCCTGCCTCCTTGCCTTGCCATCTACACCCCAGTGATGGTTGGGAAGCTTCAGGGTGGAAGCACAACAAACAAAAAAGGCTTCGCTGCTATGACACCTGGGGGGCACCTGGTCAGGCCAGGCTGCAGAAAGGAATTCACAGATGTTCCCTCTGTGAATTCACAGGGACCAGGCTGAGATGTGGTATGTTGCAGTGGGCCCCAAAATTGATTTGTGGAAGGGGTGACCCAGGTGGTAATAAGTCTGCTGACTTAGAAGGAGCCAGTTAGCAGTGGAGGTGACTTTGCTTATATGACCCCACTGGAAGGCCAACCTGAGTTACAGGGAGCTGATGGCTCTACCCACCTAAATGCCTCCTCCTCCTAAATGTCTTCTGAGCCCTGCTGACAACTCCAAATGGAGCTGAGCTGGTCCTGCTTTGGCTGGCCAGGAGATAGGTCCACAACTCCTAGAGCAATGTCTTGGCATATCGTAGCCTTGCCGTAAATACATGAATGAATGAAAGGGACTAAGCAACCAGACACCAAACCCTAAGTACGAATGCACGTCTACCCTGCCTGTGCCCCTGCCCCCAGGTGCTATGGTGGCTGGAGGCAGCCAGGGCACAGATTGAATTCCAGAATGCGTTGCCTTCGAGATACAGGGATATAGTTCAGCCTCTGTCATTCTCTGGCCCCTTTCCAGGGCTTGGCTTCTCCAGAATGAATCAGAGCCTCAAAGCAAAATCCTATCTCCAGATGCATGCCATGTTCCCCTGTCTTGGAGACTCTGAAATATCTTTTGGACCTCTTACTCTGTTTATTCCCATACTTGAAAATTGATGCCTGCCCAGCAAGTGGGAGGAACCTGAGGGAGGTGGAGGCTCTGCAGCAGGGCCCACTGAAGGGTGGGAGGCAGAGTGATGCTGCCTGACAGGTCTAAGAAGGGACTTTGTGAAAGCTCTGGCTGCCAATTCAGTGGAAAAGACAGATGGGGGGCTTTCTTCAGAAGCCAACCTGGGGCAGCTGTAGCCCTTTGATCTGCAGGATCATCTTGTTCTCTCCATTTGTGGTGACATGAGGTTTGTTTCCTGGGTCCTCACAAGAGTCAACCTTGACCTCAGCTCCCGCACAGCCCAGGGCCTAGCCAAGACTTCCACTGCCTGCTACCCCCTCTGTACCCCAGCAGCTGAGAAACACCATTCCTATTAAGCCTTCTCTCCAAAGTACTCTGTTCCTCACAGAAGTGAGGTATCATCGAAAAAGAAATGTATACAATAAAAAATGAATTATCTCTCCCCAACCCCATTTTCCAGGATTAAGAATTTTAATACCATTCCAGGTTTTTTCTATTCATATTACAAAAGTATATTTTCTTTTTCTTTCTTTTAATGAAAAATAGTATCACGCTATCAAATTTTAAGTTTTCCTTCTCTGTGTTATAATTCCCTCCTGCTGCATGGAGTAGATATTTAAGAGATATGTATTATAAGGAAAGAAGTGGGATGCCTCATACCACTTGGGTTTTTTTCACTGAATAGCTCCTGGACTTATTTCTTACCAGCACATGTAAATCTACATTCATTCTGATTGCCACGTGGTATTCCATTATTTGAATGGGCCAAAATGTATAAACCAGTTCTTTATTGTTTGATTGCTTCTACTTTTCACTATTGTGATATTGCAGTGAATATCTTTGTACACATCTTTGCACACTTATGCACCTGTTTATGTAGGCTGGATTTCTGGAAACGGAATTACTGGATCAAAGTGTACACCCACTTGTATTTTTTATGGCAGTTTCTTATATCAACCTCTTGTCCCTGCAGAATGAATCAGGCGCCAACTGTGGGCTTTGAGCAGGATGTTGGCAGCCGAACCACCCACCATTTCATGTACCCTGAGAGTGCCAAGAACCTGCCTGCCAACGTCAGCTTTGTGTTGGTGCCCTTCAAGGCCCTGGACCTGCTGTGGATCGCCAGCGCCCTGTCCACAGGGCAGATCCGATTGTGAGCCGCTCTGCTCGCTGGGAGTGCAATATGGGAGAAGTCTTCCTAGGGGATTGGATCTTAGAATTTCTTTAACTGAATATTTTGGCCAAGAGGGGCTGATGAGGAGGGAGGCAATAGTAGGGAGGACTCCACGTGGTGCGTTAGCTGAGGCCTGAACATGTTCTTTGTCAATTCCTGCATGGTGACAGCCAGCATATTGGTGGTGGAACGGTGAGGAAAGAACAGTCTGATTTTGGTCTCCGTTCCAGGAGGTGGTTCCTGACTGTGGGAGCTCTGCCTTCTGAGAACTTTAGGGGAAGCTGACCAGTCACCGTTGGGGATCTTAGGAAATTCAATTAACCAAGTTTTTTTTTTTTTAAGATTTTTTATTGATCTTTAGAGGGAGAAAAACATGGATGTGAGAGAGACACATTGATTGATTGCCTCCCGCACGACCTCAGTCGGGGCCGGAGATCAAACCTGCAACCCAGGTATATGCCCTTGACCAGAATTGAACCTGTGACTCTTGGATCCTCTGGCTGATGCTCTGGCCACTGAGCCAAATCAGCTAGGGCAAAATTTACAATATTAACCATACAGTTCAGTAGCATTAAGTACACTCACATTATTGTGCAAACATCACTACTACCCTTTTCCAGAACTATTTTATCTCAAATGGAAACTCTGTAGCCATTAAGTAATAACTCTCCATTCCTTTCTCCCACCCCAGACCCTGATAATCACTGTTATTTCTGCCTATATGATTAGACTATTCTAGGTACTTCATACGAGTGAAAAATTATATAGTTGTTTGTCCTTTTATATCTGACTTATTTCACTTAGCATAATGTTTTATCCATGTTGTAGCATGTGTCGGGACTTCATTCATTTTAAAGGTTAAATAGTATTCCTTTACTGGTTATGCCACATTTTGTTTTTTAATTTTTAATTTTTTTTCTTTTTTTTCTTTTTTTTAATTTTTATCCTCACCCGAGGATATTTTTCCATTTTTTTGTACAGATAGAGTGGGAGGGAGAGAGAGGAGGGGAGAGAGAGTGAGAAACATCAACGTGAAGGGACACATCGAGTGGCTGCCACCCGCACGACCAACCAGGGCCGGGGACAAACTGCAACTGAAGTACGTGCCCTTAGCGGGAACCGAACCCGGGTCTCTCCGGACCGCAGGCCGACACTCTAACCGCTGAGCCAAACTGGCCAGGGCTTTAATTTTTTTTCTTTATTGATTTTAGAGAGAGGAAGGGAGAGGGAGAGATAGAAACATCGATGAGAGAGAACATTGATTGGCTGCCTCCTGCATGCCCCCCACTGGGGATTAGGCCCATAACCTGGGCATGTGCCCTGACTGGAAATCGAACCGGCGACCTCTTGGTGAATGGGTCGATGCTCAACCACTGAGCCACACCGGCTGAGCTTGTGCCACATTTTGTTTATCCACTTATCCAATAATGGAAAATTGGGTTGTTTCCACCTTTTGCCTGTTGTCATCATGTATTTTTAAACACAGAAGTGTAAGTTACAGTGTTCTGACTTGATGTTTGAGAGACATAAAAGCTAAAATAAATGCTGTAGAGTTTAAATCCCATATATTTAAAAGGGATCAAAAAAGGGAGTGTAGGTTATGAGTGCCATGGCTGGCTAATAGGGAAGGAGAGATTTGTGCTAAATGTGAGGAGAGTTGTGAGAGGACCAGTGTGAGCACAGGTAGGAGCACACACATGGTGGGTTTGAGATGATTGGCTAACTAAAGTTCACAGCAGAGAATAGTGGGAAAAAAAGTTGGGGCTGGAATATGGAAGGCCCCAATGCATGTTTAATAAAACATCCTTATTTTATCCTGAAGGGCACGGGGCCATTGAAGGTTTCTGATCGAGGTACTACAGTGATGTAGTGTGGGAGAGCAGTTTGGAAGCAGGGGTTCTGTTGTGAGGTTGTCATCACTCAGGTTTGAGCAGGAGGAATGGCATCCCTGGGTCCCAGGGCGCCATCTAAATGTTATTTATTTTTTGTTTGCTTGCAGTACCTATGCCCCAGTGAAGTCCTTCCTTCGAGTAGACAAAGAAAAGGTAAGCTCCCTCCTCCACCCCCTTTTTCTTAATGTTTTTTTTTTTAATCCTAACCTGAGGATATTTTTCTATTTATCTTCAGATTGAGTGGGAGGGAAGGAGAGAGAGAGAGAAACTTCATGTGAGAGACACATCGAGTGGTTGCCTCTCGCACGACCCCGACCAGGGCCAGGGATGAACTGCAACCAAGGTATGTGCCCTTGGCCAGAATCGAACCTGTGACTCTTACTGCTGAGCCAAACCAGCCAGGGCTCTGCTCCCTTCTTTATCTCCAGCTCAGAGGAAACAGTGCAGATCTGACTCGTGGTGCCTGGTTCAATGGCTCAGGTGTCCTCTAGTGCCCTTCCAGAACCTTCAGTATCCCCATCTGCTGGTATGCCTGTCCTCCACAGAGGCTGCAAGGAACCAGGGAATACAGATGAACAGGTCTAAGGGCAAGCATGGAGGGACTGGCAGAAGCTGCTCAGAGCCTGGCCTGAGTCCCTGGGCCCCAAAACCCCTTATGTGCCTGTCACATTTTCTCCTCCCAGGTCCAGATCTACAACCCAGCCTTCTTCAAGTATATCCACGACAGGTGGACAGAGCATCACGGGCGGTACCCATCCACAGGGATGCTGGTGCTCTTCTTTGCCCTGCATGTGTGTGATGAGGTGGGTAGCCTAGACTGGGGGTAACAGTGGGGCCCATGGAACAGGGGAAAGCAGCTTTTCTCAGAGTTTAGTAGTGCCTCAAGTGGAATGGGTTTTTATAGACAGAAACCAAGTGGCTTTGATTTCTCCCCATTTCTGGGAGCTCAAGTACAGATCACATTCCCTAAGCTTACTATTCTCATGATTTTACCAAATCTGAAATCATTTAATTTGAAAGTTAAATTTCTTTGCAAAGGAAATAGAATACTACTTCCGTAATTGATATTATCTGCCATAAAGCAAAAAGTAGTAAAAAACATAAATAGAATAGAATGAAGATAGTGTAGTTAAGTGTCAGGGGGATGGTTGTCTCCCATAGCTGTGGGCCGCAGGTCTACTCTCCTGTGTGTTAAAAACTGAGGTTAGTCATTCAAAGAGTCACATCTTACTAGTGGACAGTGGTACTCTGCCATACTCTTAAGTGCTCACACCCAGCACACCCACATTTGCCAGTAAATTCTTCATTGTTATGGTACTGGGTACTTGACCAGCTTTAAAATAAAAGTACTCCATTAAAAAAAAAAAGGAAGTTAGTAAGGGTTGGAATAGCCCTAAACTGGGATGTTGTTCTTGAAGCAATCAGACCGGTGGAAAGAGAGATGAAAGGGAGCAGCATTCTCCCTCTGTCAGTGTCCTTAGCCCAGGCCTGGATGTCCCCTCTTCACATGCCTCCCCCGCTCTGGGAATCCATTAGCTGCCGGCCTTCGGGTTGCCGTGGGGGTCCCTGCGGCTCCTGGCTCTTCCCCCACTGCGACCCAAGGCTGTCCTGCGTCCTGTCTTTCACAATCCCCGACCTGGGGTGACCTGCACCGCCCTCCCCTGCAGGTGAACGTGTACGGGTTCGGGGCCGACAGCCGGGGCAACTGGCACCACTACTGGGAGAATAACCGGTATGCAGGCGAGTTCCGGAAAACCGGCGTGCACGACGCCGACTTCGAGGCCCACATCATCGACATGCTGGCCAAGGCCAGCAAGATCGAGGTCTACCGAGGCAACTGAGAAAGGTCTGGCCACGACTTTTTCGGCCCGGCCGCCAGACGCCGCTGCGCGCTCCGGGTCGGGACTCGAGGCCTGCCCCCAGGGCGGCGGCCGGGGCGGCGCCAGGCGTGGGGTGTCTCCAGGAAATCCCCAGCGACACCAGGCGCGGTCTGGATTTATCATGCAGCCGCCCAGCGAGTTCGGCTGTTCCCTGCCAATCACAAGACTGGGGGGCCTAGCGCCAATCAACGCTGCGTCTGGGCGGAGTCTTTGTTTATCTCAATCAATCATGTGGCTCAACTCGAGTCGATTTCCGGCGCTGGGCGCAGTCTCCTCCAATCAATGGCCTTCGGAGGAGAACCGGCCGTTTCTCCATTCCCACTCCCCCAGGCTTTTGGGTAGGGTTTTGTTTCACGCTTTTTAAAGAGTAGGGTTGGCTACTGGTCTCAAAAAAGTACTTTCCTCAGGCTCTGTCGGAGCTGTCGCAGTCGCTTGCGGGCCTGACCCTGCCGAGGACGCCGAGAAGGAAGTGGAGGGGATGGCCGGGCCGTGGCCCCTAGTCTTCCTCTCCCAGGGGGTCCCTCGTGGCCTCGGAGGGGCGATCCCGGTGGTTTCCAGGGAGCGCTCTTTCACCCAGAGGAAAACCCAGAGCCCTCCCAAACCGCTCCAGGCCTCCGAGAGAATTTTAGACCCTACACTTCTTTTACCGTTTAGGCCGAGATGGGTGAGTGTCAACCCACCAAAGAAATGCAGTGAGAATCCAGAGGGCATTTGGGTCCCCTCATCCTCCCTCCACCTCCTCCCTGACTTTGGCCACCCTATGGAATGGCCTTTCTGACCAGGGCATTTAGTGTCTCACCAGAAAACGAACTGTGTTCAACTTTTGCTTGGGGGCGGAATTCGCCTAGGGCCTAACTCTGGAACATAGGTGTGAGGAACTGGGCAGGGGACAAGGAAGCCCCCTCATATCAAATGTAAGGTGCTTCTCACTCACGTGTATCCTTGGCCCCTACCGCTACAACCTTTAGTGTCTCGCCTCTTTAGGCCCTGGGCCTCCTCACCAGCCTACTTGCTCTGGAAAAAAACAACGAAACAAAAACTTGCCCTGGGATTGATTGGGGCGCTGCTGCTTCTCTCTCTCTCTCTCTCTCTCTCTCTCTCTCTCTCTCTCTCTCTCTCTCTCTCTCTTGGGGCGCTGCTGCTTCTCTCTCTCTCTCTCTCTCTCTCTCTCTCTCTCTCTCACACACACACACACACACACACACACACATATCTTTGGCTGGCTCAAGGGAGAGGGAGCAACATGTGGGAAAGAAGGCTGGAGATGGGGAGCCCAGCTGCCTGGTGCATGCACCTTCTTCCTTCACCCATCACCCCAAAGAGGAGTAGGAAACCTCTTGCTTGGGGATGGAAATTGCTTTGGGCTCATAACTTAGTTAACCTGAAAATACCAGGTATGGCTGACCAACAGAGATTCTTTAAAAATTCTTTTAAACTGGCTGTGGAAATAGCCTGGAGCCTAGCTGGGGAGGAGTAGACTTGCCCCTCTGCATGCCTCCTCCCCTGCCCATGGGCCCCCTCCCCCACACTCACCTCCTGCCTTCTTGCTCTAACTCACTTTCCATTTCCAGCTCAGGAATGGGCTGGGAAGCTAACAACCAGGGATTACAACTGGAAGCTACTTGCATGACAGAACCCAGCTTAAGTCCCTTAAGGAAGCTGCTGATAGTATTCACCCTTCAAGGTTAGGGAAGTTTAGGAGGGAAAAAGAGCTTCTGTGAAGCTTCCAAACGACTAAAAGGATCCCCCAGCCCACCACCCAGTCCAACAGTGACAACACAAATAACACCTATTTTCTTATTGAGTTGGTACCAACAAGCAGCCCCCTGGCCATTGGTGTAGTTCCTGCAGCTGGCTAAAGGAATAGTAACCATGGGGGTATTAGAGGATGGTTTGGGTGGGCATTGGACACCCCCACAAGTTAATATATTGAGAATCTAGCTTGAGTCTGTACCTTCCTAATTCCAAAAGTAGGTGGAATAAAAAATCAGGGTGGATTGGTTGGGGTGGAAGGGGCTTTGGTGGATTGCCTCTCAGGGCCTTCTCCCACCATTCTAGAGAGCTAAGGCATCAACCATTCTTGTCAGTCTCATCTCAGTGCTTCCTGAAGAGGCTGTTTGTGTAGAAGATGAAAAAACAATGCAATTATGCCAAACAGTATTGAGCAGAATAATTTATTTCTTTTTTGTTTTGTTTAAAACATTAATAAACCACCATTCTGGAAGAGGTAGGTCCCAGCATCCAGCCCAGATCTCCTTTTCTGCAATAGTTATTTAAACAAATGTTTTTTATTTTCTTCCCTTTCTCTCTCTTTCTGAATTAAAAAGAACAAAAACACTGTATAGTTATCTGTTTGGAAATGTGTCAGTGAAGAGCTATGACCAAGTGATGGCTAAGAATGTTGGAGGGATGTGTGAATGGGGGAGGGATCAACTCCTCGACACCCTCCCATTATATATGAAGCCTCCCAACCCTGTACCACTAACTGTGCCCTTCGGGAGGGTTGTTCTTCATGACTGTCCTTCAGGGTGCCCACGTGGATCAATAGGGCAGAGACTGTCCACTGCTGGGAGTCAGCACAGCATGCAGATCCAACAGGCACCAGGATAGGGCTTTTCCCTTCGATTTCCAGGTTCTGTGGAGGTCCCCATGATGACATAGGTATGGGTTGGTAGGAAATGGGCAGAATGGTAGGAGCACCTGCCAATGCCATTTACTTGGGCCATCTGGACCCACTCAAGCCTACTTCCATCATGCTATGGAATGCCACTGAACCAATTTTATAGTTTGGTGGGTCAGATAACATGGATCTTAATGATGGACCATTTAGGGTCCATAGTCACTTGGTGTCCCATGATTCAGTTTCCACCAGTCCCCAAGATTTGCTTTTCAAGTGGAGAATACTTTTTGGTGGAGGAGAGCACTGGTCTTTATCTAAAACCCTAGGATTCAGGGTTATAATTCTGTTTGGAGTTGTTGGAGATACTCCAGAAGCATTTGGTTGGCTGAGTCATAAGGCTTGGTGGCAGGATGAGGCGAACACATCCTGGACTGCTGAGAACCATTTCCTGTCCTGGACCCCTACTTCAAGCTGGCTGCCTTGGTTGTAGCAGCACTCTTGAATATTGTAACTGTTGACTCCAGAATCAAGACTTCCACCAAACGGTGTCTTTTTTTCCCCTTTCATGTTGGCCGGGGGCTATGTTGCTTTGATCCAGCAAAGATAAAACATTTCCACTTGATTACATTTGTGGTAAACTGCTGTCATTCTCCACGACTCAGATGGTAAGTAAATGGAACTAGGAAGAAATCACCCACCCCTGCATAATTCAAGTTTGATGGCAGCATCAATCTCTGCAAATCCTGCAGGGATGCAATATTGACTTTTGACTTACTATCTTGGAGATAGTTTCAGGGACTTCTTTGGCTCATTCCAACGTAATCACCCTCACTCCATGGGTTAGGTTGCCAATATGGGGATTTTGCCAGGTAGTAAATATCTTTATTCCTTTTTGGGACGAGGAAATTACCTTAAAATGTGTCTGTGGTCTCATTGTCTCTTCCATTAAATGGACTTATATCAGAGCTCCAGCTATCACTTGCCATAATAAGCTCCGACTATAACTAATTGTTGGACCACACTGGCATTTGGGTCTGAGAGCCACATCTGATAACTTCTTTTTTTTTTTTTAATCCTCACCCGAGGATATTTTTCCATTTTTTGTTCAGATAGAGTGGGAAGGAGAGAGAGAAAAAATCGACATGAAAGGGACACATCAAGTGGCTGCCTCCCACACGACCCAACCAGGGTCGGGGACAAACTGCAACCGAGGTACGTGCCCTTAGCGGGAACCAAACCTGGATCTCTCTGGACCACAGGCCAACGCTCTAACCACTGAACAAAACCGGGCCTGATAACTTCTTAAGGTCTTGATATTTTCCTTTTCCAGTGCTCAGTCACTCTGGGAAATAAGTCCCTCTGGAAAGGCTTTAGGGAAATTCACATCTGAGCTAAGTCACAGAGTCTCTCCTTAAGGACTTTGGAATTCCCTTGAAAAAGAGGCTTCAGATGTGTGACCTGAATTAGGTCTGGGAACTGGGTAAAAAGCTGTGAATGCCCATAATTGTGACTCGGGTTTCTTAGCACTACTAGAATTTTCCCTCCTACATACATCAGGTATCTTAGTAGGCTGCCCAGCATCTATTTTATTTCTAGGGACTATAACAGTCAATTAACTATTGTCCCAAGTCCACATAAGTCAAAACTGTAATTGCCATACTGTGGTTTGTTGTGGTAAATGTACTTACCCACCTCAGGTAGTTAGGCATGTTTTTCTGGCCATTATTGTGCTAGGATCTCATTATTCTCAGACATATAGATGCCAGCCACTATAGAGGTCTTCAAAAATATTGGTGCTCCAATCACTAATGTATTTTTTTAATGAGGATATTTTAAAATTGATTTTAGAGAGAGGAAGGGAGAGAGAGAAAAACATCAATGTACAAAGAAACATTGATTGCCTCTCACAGGCACCACAACTAGGGATTGAACCTGCAACCCTTTTGGTGTACAGGATGACGCTCAACCAACTGAGCCACCCAGCTGGGCTCACTAATACATTTTAAAATTTAGTTTACAATAAAGATGGCCTCTTGAATCACTTAAGAAAAGATAGATGTTTAAATAAATTTTATTGAAATAACTAGATAACCATTTGGAAAAAGATAAAATTAGATGCCCACCTTAAACCACTGACCAAAATGCCAAATGAATCATGAATCAGAATTAGATGCAAAATATAAAATCTTAAAAAGTCCAGCTGGTGTGGCTTAGTTGGTTGAGCATTCTCCCATGCACCAGGAGGTCACTGGTTCAATTCCTGGTCAGGGCACATGCCCAGTAGGGAGCATGCAGGAAGCAGCTGATAAATGTTTCTATTTCTCCCTCTCCTTGCCTCCAAAATCAATAAAAATGTATTTTAAAAAACAAATAAAACCCCCAAAATGGTAGCTCTTTGATATATTCAAACTGGTAAAATATATATCAGCTTTGTGGATTTTTTTCATGCTCTATTTTTCCCTGTATTGCTAAAAAATGGGAGCTTCTTTATTCTTTTTTTGTTGTTGCTTCAAATATTTTATAATTCTTCTGATGTAATTGCTCCCATTTTGTGTGTCCATGTGAGTTTATACCTTTTTCATTTCTTCCCTACGTTAGTGAGGTCACGAGATGGAGAATCAGGTAAGTGTGATGTTTAAGCATCTACTTAGCAGACACCTATTTCTTCCTTGATTTCCGTGTTTCTCCACACAGTTGGTTGTTTGTGGTTGCCTACTTAACCCCTCTCTGTCACCAGGAGGCTTTTTAAATCACTGAGAATTGAAGATTATTCTCTCTCAAGAAGCTGCTTGGAAATTTTGTGTACATGATGGGATGTGGCTTACCTACCATCTGCATTGGCAGGGTGGCGGGACAAGGAACCAGCCATTCCATAGACAGTGGGGTGGGGTGGGGCAGGATGGGGGTAACGATAAGCTAGGTTATGTTGCAGTAATAAACATCTCTCAAACGTCCAGGGGCTTAAAACAACAAAGTTTATTTTTCACTCAAGGCACATTTCCATCATGGGGCTCTGCTCATCTTGGTCACTCAGTCCCAGGTGGACAGTGGCACCATCTGTGGTGGATCTGTGGTCTCAAGGGGCAGGGAAAGAGAATCTGGTGAACCACAGGCTGGCTCTTAAAACTTCTATCAAGTTCACCTCCAGCCAGTGTGGCTTAGTGATTGAGGGCCGACCCATGCACCAAGAGGTCGCTGGTTCGATTCCTGATCAGGACACATGCCCAGGTTGTGGGCCTGATCCCCAGTGTGGGACATGCAGGAGGCAGCCAATCGATGCTCTCTCTCATTGATGTTTCTATCTCCCCCTCCCTCTCACTTCTCTCTCTAAAAATCAATAAAGGGGGAGAAAAAGCTTGAAAAAAAATAATAAAAAGAAATATAATTTAATAAAAAAAAAAAAGTTCACATTTCTTGATGCTAAACAGGTATCAGTCTGGCAGGGGATGTGTGATTCTCTGGGAGAGGCACCATA